AGACAACCGCATCCAACCGACCACGGTCCCTCAAAACCAGGCTTTCAACAGCCACGCCATCAAACCAGCAACTGTAAAGATGGACGGCACACCAGACCCTGAGAAAGAAGATCCAGACGAATCGGCAGCTGCCAGGGAACGTCCGCTACCAACCGGACCACCGCCGCGTACCACACCCTTCGTTGCCAGACTGGAGCCACAGGTATGACGGGAATGCCCTCGGCCACGTTTCTGCGTAGAAGATTCGTAAAAGGTACATTGGAGGGAACGCGTAAAGCAGACCGTAATGGTCCCACGGAGCCACCAGGGCATCCCCGCATCCGCCCAAGAATCCTGGGTCCGGGCAATGAACCGATCTGCCGATGGAGACGAGATGCCAGGAGATCCACATCCGGAGTCCCCCACCGAAGGCAGATGATGTAAGTTCCACTCCCCCGGATCCACCGGCCGGCGACTGAGATAGTTGGCCCACACGGCGGAGAGAGCCGGAACATGCTCTTCCGCCCAGGAGAGAATACCTGCCACTTCCCGAGCCGTGGCCACACTTCTTGTGCCGCCTTGACGGGTTAAGTAAGCCAGAACACCCTCTCCAGAGACAAGGTAGACTTGTCCCATTGCAACAAGGTGTCTCCCTGTAGCATCCTGGTGTGGTGCTGCGTGTAACGTAACCGACTCGAAGGAGGCCACAATGAGAACCAGAACCCGCATGCAAGAACGGATAGTCGAGCACCGGCGCGACCACAACACCCTTGCATGTGAGCGAAGCTCGAGGAGTTTCTCCGCGGGCAGAAAACTCGTGCAAGGACGGAGTCCAGAACCAGGCCCAGATACTCCAGATAAGTGGACGTCGCCAGACAAGACTTCTGCAAGTCCAGGAGCCAGCCGAACTCCACCAATGACCGTACGGTGACCGCAAGGTCCGTCACCAGAGAAGAATGCGACTCCGCCTTCAACAGAAGATCGTCCAGATACCCCACAATCGAGAACCCCCCGACAACGCAACAACGCCAGAATCGCCCCTTGGTGAAAAACCAAGGCGCCAACGCCAGACCCAAAAGGCAGAGCGACAAACCGGTAATGTTTGTCCCCCACCGCAAAATGAAGGAAGCGTTGATGTGAGGAACAGACGAGGATATGAAGGTAGGCATCCTCGAGATGTCGAAGGAGGCCATGAAATCCCCCTGATGAAGACACGCCACTATGGATTGGATAGAGTCCATCCGGAATCTGCAGACCCGCCCGAAGGTGCTTAACTGCTTGAGGTCCAGGATGGGGCGAATATCCTCCTTCCTGGGAACGGCAAACAGGTTGGAATAAACACCCTGATCCACTCTGAGGCGGGCACCGGAACAATCACCCCCTGGAACAAGAGGTCCGCCACCACGCATGCCGCAGCAGAGGGAGGCGCGTGTTGGAAACTCGATCTTGTAGCTCGAAGACATCAATCCCCGCACCCAGGCGTTGGAGACGCGGGAAATCCAAAGGCCCGCAAGGAGCCGAAGGCGTCCCCCCACCATGAAACCAGAGAAGGGGGCAGACCCTCATGCCGAGGGGGGAAAACCATGGGGCCAGGAGGATGTCGGCTGCCAGGCACGTTGTGCGGCCTGGGTAGACAGCGGCTTGTTGGACTCTTCGCCCCTCACCGATGGCGGAGGGGGACAAAAAAACCCACTTGTGAGCAGAGAAGGAAGGACCGGGCTTCCCCCGGTGGTCCCTAGGCTTTTGAGCCTGAGGCAGAAAGGTACTCTTACCGCCCGTCAGATCCTCAATGATCTCATCCAGAGTTGCTCCGAACAAACTATCCCCGGTAAAAGGCAATTCCGTCAGGGCCTTTTTAGAGGCCTGATCCGCCGACCAGCAGTTAAGCCAGAGAAGTCGGCGTAGTGTAACCGCAGACACCGGCAGCTTGGAAACTAAGGGAGCAGCATCCAGAGCCAAAATGCAAATGTATTTCAGGCCCTGCACCATTTGGTCCGCCAGATCAACTAAGGCAGGAGAAACATTCTCCTCCGCGAGGCCCTGACGCAGCATCTTAGCCTATTCCATCAGGGTCTGGGAGACCAGAGCCTAGGCCAAAAACCGGATGCAGAAGTGCACCGGAAAATGAGTACATGGTACACGAGACAGCCTGTGCCTTCCGATCCGTGGGACCCCAAAAAGGAGAATCCGCCACAGGGATAACCGTTGCCTTGGTCAGGCGGGAAAATACAGCGGGTCCACAGCAGGGGGGGACGACCACTTAGCCACAAAGGCCTCCTCAAAGGGATAACGAACCGAAGAACGTTTCGGAACCGAAAAGGATTTAGTGGGACGCGTCCACCCCAGATAGATGAAGTCATCAAAAAAGGGGATATAGGGAAAAACCGTAGCGGAGCACCCACTCTTACGTGTCGCAAACTGAACCGGCGGGAGCGCAGAGGAACCAAGGCCCTCCTCAAGCTTAAGCGTCTCTTGGACTGAACGAATCAGCGCGGTGACCAGTTCGCGGTCCTGAACCATGAGCGAGGCACCTGTCTCGGTGTCACTGCCCGAATCCGGCAGGGAGGAATCCCCTTCAAGGAAAGGAAGAGAAATATAAAATATGGATTAAAACGTGTGCAAAAAAAATCTTGGTAGCGAAAGGATTAAACGAAATACTCTGATTGTAAAATGTTGCAGCCGGGCCCCAGGTACAGAGCAGAGGTACTGACTGGCAATGAAGGACACAACAAGAACAGGGACAGGATTATGTCAGGACTGTCGGCAGACAGAAGGTATACAAATATTTTGTAACATCTGGCCGGGGGGCCCGGCCAGATGCCGTGCGGGCCGCCTGGGATCCTCTGCTGGTGGCTTTCACTGGCGGCTGAAGACCAACACGCCGCTGTTCAGAGTTCAGGTCATCTGTGCAGCAGCGCGTTCGTCTCCACAGAGTCAATGAGAGCCAGCAGGGGTGAAAATCACGGGGCCCCATACAAAATTTTGCTATGGGGCCCTGTGATTTCTAGTTACGCCCCTGGTTTTAGCTTTGTATTTTTGAAGAGTAAACTCTCCTATAGCTTTTAGATCTGTTGTGGCTACAACTTCCACCACTCATTTAAGGTATATTACTGCTAGATCAGATGTCACAGCCAACATTTTCTTAAAATGCCTTTTTTAAAGTTGAAATTTATGAGGGTTATTCACTAAGCCGAGTGACTAAAAGAAAAAAAGCAGACTAAAAGAAAAATAAAGTAATTTTTTCTCTCACTTTACTTCAACGAAAATTCGTCTAGGACGAAACTTTCCTTATCGGAAATTCGGAATTAGTTTTAGCCGTCATTTCTGTCATTCGTAAATCCAGAACCTCCAAATAACGAAAATTCGTCCGAATAACGAATCGCACATGTCTAGAAGTGTGTATATGCACTCATATGGGTTTACTTGCCACCTTTCATCATAATGGCTTCCGTAAGCCAAACTCTAGGAAAAATCATAACTTGCACGCATCACTGGGTGGGTAAATCATCATTAAAATGCTGTCCAAGGACTAAAGCATGGGCCTGATCTACTTGTCTCTCATGACAATCTACTTGTCCCGATACAAAAAAATAATTTTAACCAAAACCATATTTAGCAGTGCTAAGAAGCGCTTCTCATTGGTCAGCGCCGTCAGGTACAGATAGTACACACGTATTTGGCGGACGGACGGAAAGGATCGTTCGCCGAAAGGTAAGGATAGCAGGGAAGGAGAGGGGGCCAGATTTGTGCGGGTAATTCCATTTTCCCAAATTACTTTTGGAAAGTGAATTTACACTTTAGGGCTGGTGCAGACTTGGGCCATCGTGTGCGGTTGATACAGCGGTTGGCGTGCAGCCCCATTGATTTAAATGCGGTTACATCTGTGTGGCAATTGCTGAAAAAAGGTACATGTACCTTTTTTAGTGACACAAACCGCGCTGTGTTTTCAACCACGACTGTGTGTAATTGCACGGCGGTATTGCGGCGGGAAACCGTACAATCTGCCTGGCGCGACTGGGGTGCCATTAGGAAATAATGGCACTGCTAGCACGATTGGCTGTGGTGTGCGATTCCGTGACTCCGTTCACACACACAATGCCCTATGCATGTGTTTATTCGCATGCAGATGGTGGGGGCAACAGGGTTGGTTTTAATATTTATTTACTTTATTTTTTTTTACTTTATAAAAAAAAATATTTTCATTAATTTTATTATTTTTTTACTTTATCGCCTTTTTATTTTTTAAATTTTTATCTATTTAAATTTTAAATTTTTGCTTTTTATTTTTTACATTTTGTATTTATTTACATTTCTAATTTTTATTTATTTTATAATTTTTTAAAAACTATTTTTGTCACTTAACTTTATTGCTATCACCAAGGGGCAAACAATCCCTTGTGTGATAGCATTTGGAGGTGACAGGTTCTTTTTATTGAACCTGTCATCTCCAATACAGGAGTTCTAGCACAGTACTGTGCTCGTTCTCCTGTGACAGGAAGGCTGCAAGTGCAGCATTCCAGTGTCAGTGCTCACGCGGAGCAGATTGGAGAGTGAACGTTCTCTGCTCTGCTCCCAGCTCTCCAACCTGATCTAATTTGCCGTGGTCTTGGGTCCCCCAGAAGAGTAGGGGACCCTGAAGACTATGGTGGGAAGGGAGCCAGCTGGCAGGGAGAGAGGCAGAGGAGAGGGGTGGCAGATGGTGGGCGGGGAGAGAGGCAGCAGCCCGGGACACAGGGGGAGGGCGGTGACACAGGTGAAGGCGGTGACACAGGCAGAGAGGCAGTGGCCGGTGAGAGAGGTGGTGTTTGGAGACAGGAGGGGGAGTGAAAATCAGGCTGCTTTCAAGTGATCTTGAGCGGCTGCACAAATTACAACAAATTACCTTTATTCTTCCTAAACATTTCTTACTCTTAACAGGCGTAGATTTGTAACCATCATATGCATTACTTTATTATATAAAAATAATATTTTAACTAGAATTCTAATTGACTTTTCTAACAAAAAATATTTTTGCTGCCTACCTTTGAGCCATTTGGAGTCATGTTTAACACTTCGTAGAGCTGGACGTTCTCCAAGACTGCGATAAAGGACAGCATCTATTGCAAGGAAATCTGTCACTGTAGCTGTAAAGAGCATTCCATCTAGGTAAAGGAAGAAAATATATGGGAGGTTGAACATTAAAGTGATATTAACCCCTTCCCAACCGATGAAGGGATTACTCCCTTACGGTCTTTCAGTTTAGGGACAGAATAGGGACAGAATAATCCCGGCATGCGGTGCAATGAGAGCTGGCCCATGCAGGGACCAGCGCTCATTGAGTTAATGTTGTTAAAGAGTTTGGAGAAGGCAGGAGAAGTGAACAATCTAGGCCAAAATAGCTGATTTTGAAAAATTCTCCTATGCAGCTCACTTTCCAGTTCAGCTATGTTGAGCTGGGGAGAGCAGCGGGGAGCCAGAGAAGCGGCGGGAGGAGAGGACATGGCGATCTACCAGTGATCGCTACGCGATCGACTGGTAGATCGCGATCGACCTTGTGGGCACCCCTGATCTAGATTGTTCACTTCTCCTGCCTTCTCCAAACTCTTCACCCTTTTGTGAATAGACCCCTTATTAGTATCAAAAGCCCCTGTAAATGAAAAAAAGAACCCCTTAGTGTCCCCCAAGTTTTCAAAAAATTTAAACCGTTTTTTAAAGTTTAAACATTTGTAAAAATGTTTTTAAAAAAAGGGAAAAAAAAGTTTTAGTAAAAAAATATAAGAAAATATAATGCCGATAGCAATATAGTTTAAAACCCATTTTGTCCATCAAAAAGCAGTATATAATATGTGTACGTGCAATGAATGAGGAAGATGGAAATTATGGTTAAACAAACACATAGCAAAATTACTCCGGTCCCCAGGAATGAAAAAAAGTTTCTGAAGCTGTGTCACTAAGAGGTTAAAGTCAAAAGGATTTTAAGCTATTTAAAATGCTGATGAAATCACTTACAACAAATGCTGTTGCTTGATGTTTAAAAGTTTTAGTGTTTCCTGCAATATCAGCTGGCCCCCGGAGCACTGGTCCTGACTTCCTGTTCTAGTGACTCCTTTCTCAAGCAGAGTGCTATGCAGTCACCCTTGTGTGCGCTAGTAAGCGGTGTGTGTGTCCACAAACACACAGCAAATCAAGCTACTCCCCTCCCCCTGGCCCCCTCTTCTCCTTCCCCAAACTAGTAGATGAACAGTAGCTGGAGTCTGCACTGTCCTTTGTGATCTTGTACTGGACAGGCAGTTCAGGGAAACATGATGTTTGTAAGTGTTTGGGCAAAAATGTAAAGAAATACATTGCTGGGCAATGCATAATTGTTTGATCTGAATTCATTATTGAAAACAAGTTTGAGGGTTTATTACTACTTTAAGTAAAGCTCTTAGACCTACCTGTCAGTGCAGTGGCCTAACCATTCTACTAAGGTAAGACCAAATTCAGTGTGCTGATAAACAGCACCATAAACAGTGCATAAAAATGCAACCATAAGAAATCATCTTTAATTGGTATGTTTAATACAGATGAAAGTGTATCTATTAGCATTTTCCATAGGTGACTTTTCCATTATAAGCCATAATATAACTGTATTACCAATGAAATTTTCAAGGTCAAACTGTATTGCAAATTTTTTTTTTTTTTTCTGTAAGACATCATTTTTGTAAATCGGTAGCAAATGTTAGTGCAGCTGTAAAGGTACATAATCAAACTATAGAGCGGTTTCAGTGTTATACTACAAGAATGTATACCGATCAGCCATAATATAATGAACACTAACAGGTGAAGTGAATAACATTGATTATCTCATTACAATGTCACCTGGAAGTGGGTGGGATATATTAGGCAGCAAGTGAACATTTTGTCACTTTAGTTGATGTGCTAGAAGCAGAGAAAATTATAAAATGTGTAAGGATTTTTTTTTTTTTTAAATTCTGCGTTTATTGTAACAAATAACAGATAGATACATGAGTGCCGAGCATATAGATCGTATTACAGCACAAATATTAACATTTGAAACATAAGCAGTCTCATAGAACAGTATAAAGATCCATATCACATGTCGGCTTGGATTAATGCTACGTCTCTGTATACCTATAATCAGATATATGCTTTGATCATGGTCTTGAGACTGAAAAGTACCGGCTGTCTAAGCGAACAACAACTTATACATACTGATCATTGTGTGGGACATGCCCACCTCTCCCACTCTGTATGTTAGTGCTAGTCCTATGTTGAGCTTCCAGAGTCACGTCTGGTGTAAGAGAGTGGGCAGGTTCCCATTTCGGGGGGTATCACCTGGACAGGACAACTTCAGAAGGGTCTAAATCACATAGAGGTCAGAAGGAAAGGAAGAAGAAAAGGAGAAGGAGGGGATGGGGATTAGAAGCTAAAGGCATTATCAGGGCTTAGGGGATCTCCTCTCCCCCGGCCCGCCCCCGACCAACCTCTCAACCCTCAGCTGGTAGGGCAGGGGTGTTTGGGCTCATCACCAAAAGATATGCAGAGGTTGTTGTGAAGTGGGACCACGGTCTCCAGATTGTGCGAATCCTCTCTTCTGTATTATGAATGGAAGCAGTTAGGTCCTCCATACACCATATCTCATCTACAATGGAGAACCATAGTCTCAACGTGGGAGGGCTGGATTGTCTCCACAACAGAGGTATACAGGACCTCGCTGCATTTAACAGATGTTTTGTCAGGGATTTTTTGTAGCGTTTAACCGTAAGAGGCGTCTTAGGTAACAGACATACCGCCGGGTCATCTGGTAGGGTCTCAATCACCAGCCGGTTGATCGTCTCCCTCACCCCCGTCCAAAATGAACGAAGGCCAGAGCACTGCCAGAATACGTGTAGCATGGTACCTTGAGCCTGTTCACATCTCCAACAGGTTGAGGGGATCGAGCTGTTCATTTTGTTAAGGATATACGGGACTCTATACCAGCGTGAAACAATCTTGTATCCCTGTTCCTGGAATTTGCATGCAATGGAGGATCTACGGGCCAAGGACAGTATTGTATCCCTTTGAAGCTCAGTGAAGGATCTTCCCAACTCGGATTCCCATTTCTCAAGGAACGGAGGGCAATACGACTGTGGTGGTGAGCTGAGTTGTCTATACAGCCAAGAGAGGGCATGGCGGACTGGGGCCCCTTGATGACAAATGGACTCAAAATCCGTGAGGCGCCACGTCAACTGACTCAGCCCGGGCACAGAGACCAGAAAATGGCGGATCTGCCGCGCACTCCATACATCCAGCCCCGGGCAGGTCAATTGTCGTATGGAGTTGAGCGACATCCATGTCCCGTCCAATATAAAATCATGGAGACGGAACTTACCTACCTTCAGTAGTCTGCGGACGCGACCATTCTCTAGACCTGGGGGGAAGTCGGGGTCCCCAATTACCGGTATCATGGGCGATGGGTGGGGGGAAATTCCCGAAGCAACGAGAGACGTCCTAGCTACCCTCAGCGTGGGCGCAATGAGGGGATGAGAGGAGATCTCTGGCGGCAGAGGGGAAGTAAGCCATGCAGCCCCCGAGATCGGCAATCTGGATTCAGAAAGTTCCATCCCCACCCATCTTTTCTGATCTGTATGGCAGCACCAGTCCAGTACCCTGACAAGGTGGGAAGCCTTGTAATAAAGTTTAATGTCTGGCAGGTCCACTCCACCCCGGTCCTTAGGTAGTACCAGGAGTCTATATGCCAACCTCGGACGCCGATTGGCCCAGACATAGGACACAAACAGACGTCTCAGTTGGGAGAAGAAAGTGGGAGGTAAATGGATCGGGATCGCCTGAAGAATGTATAGAATCCTGGGGAGAATAGTCATCTTTAGGGATGCGCATCGACCAAACCAAGTCAAGGTCAGGTTACGTTTGATTGCTTGTAGTAAGGGGGCATAATTTTCAGCATATAAGTAGTCCGGGTCCGCTGTAACACGTACTCCCAGATGATTAAGACTCTTCTGTGACCAACGGAACTGGCAGGAGGACCTCGCATGGTCTAGCTACATCGGGGGTAAGGAGATGTTAAGAGCTTCCGACTTGGCCTGATTAACCAAAAAATTAGAGAGCTTTCCATAAGTGTCGAATGCTTTCATAAGGGCAGGGATTGAGGACCTTGGACGGGATATAAAGAGAACCAGATCATCTGCGTATGCTGCCAATTTGTGAGTCCCCGAGGGAACCTGAAGGCCCCCGACGGCATCATCTGCCCTAATGGTGCATAATAGGGGTTCCAGCGTGAGTATAAAAATGAGCGGGGACAGCGGGCATCCCTGGCGGGGGCCATTGGAGATGGAAAAATATTCTGATCGAGTTTCATTAACTCTCACAGCTGCCGTTGGGGACGAGTAAAGGGCCATAATCCATGACCGCATACGTGTCCCCAGTCCTAGATGTTGGAGCGTAGACTTGAGGAAATTCCAGTCAACCGGATCGAACGCCTTCTCGGCATCGATGGAGAGGAGCATAAGAGGGCGCGAGCGCCTTCGGGCCGAATTAATCACATTGAGAACCCTGACTATATTGTCTCGTGCTTCACGGGCAGGCACGAATCCGACCTGGTCGGAATGAATGAGGTCGGGTATATAAGGGAGAAGCCTATTTGCCAGCATTTTTGCGTAGATTTTTAGATCTGTATTCAACAATGCTATCGGCCGGTAGCTGGCACAGAGGGAGGGGTCCTTGTCCGGTTTCGGGATCACCGTGATGTGCGCTCGAAGGGCGTCAGTCGGTAAGGCACCCCCTTGTAAAAGGGCATTATAAGCTTCCAAAAAATGTTCGGAGAGTAGGTGCCCAAAGGATTTAAAGTACAACAGGGTGAACCCGTCCGGACCTGGAGCCCTCCTAGGCTTTGACTGTTTGAGGGCAATATTCCACTCTTCCACCGATAGTGGTGCCTCCATGAGATCACTCACTTGCGAGGGCAGGGTAGGCATTCCCGATCGCGTCAGGTAGTTCTCTATTAAGGAACAGCGGCCCGCTACGTCTACCTGGGGCTGGCCGGGGTTCAGGTTGTATAAGTGGGCGTAGAAAATCTCGAATTCCGCGGCCATGTCCCTTGACAATGACAATTTAGTACCTGACCTGGAGTTAATGTGTGGGATATACATTTTCGACCGCG